GTGGAGAAAAAATAAAAAACAAGAAAAAGGCGAAATGTAGACAAAAGTCGCAGCTTAGATGCACTTTTAATGGCAATTATATCTTGGAATTACGTAAATAAATATATAAATAAATAAAAAATATAAAACATGCAAATTTAGATGGAAATAGCCAACAGATGTCTGAGAATCTTAAAACAAAATGGCATATTTTTGCTCTTAGACTTGGAAACTAAAGTTTGCCTTCTCTGCGCTAAAGTCAAAGCACCCGTTTCAAGGGTATAAACACAGTCGTGGCTAAGGTACTTACAACAAGCTGTATATTACGTGTGTGTGCGTGTGGGTGTGTTTGCGTGTGTGTGACGCTGACATTTTAAGTGCATCTTTGTGAAATATTTAAACAAAGAGGAATAATTACACACGGCATTACGAACTTAATGCGAGCTCTGAGTGCATGAATGGAACTCTGACACACTCCGCGACAAAAAATAAGTGTCACAAAATGTGTCTGTGTGTGTGTGAGAGATAGTTCAAGCGAGCATCCAAGCGCAGGGGTCATGACCAAAACAACGGCCAGAGGTAGCAGAACTTTTAGCAGCTTAATGCACTCCTCTGTAGATTACCCGAAATCGAATGCAGATTCAAATTAGATTTGAAAGCTCAAGTAATTACCGTACATATCTGATTTCGAGTGCGCTTTAAGCAGTTCGCAATTAAAGCAGTGCCAAAGTTGAAGCAGTGCAAAACGATGCTTGAACTCTGTCTGTCTGCCTAACTGTTAATAGCAGATAAATGCTGCTACTCCTACAGATCCCACCCGCCGCTCCGATTGAGATTGAGAAATGCTAACAAATTTTCCTTTAGGCCGTACAAATTGGCCAGCATGTTTATTTCCAATTGCATTCCCCAAATGCCAAACGCAATTGCTTCAGCACAACTAATGCTCTTTCGACGAGGACGAGAAGGAGTCTCCTGCTCCCTCCCCCCCCCTGCAGCAGTGACAGTTGGTTACCCCTGGCAAAAGCCAGAGTTATGGCGAATGCAGTCGGACAGATACACAGATACAAACACACACATTCTGGGTAAATCAGTTTGAAAATTGAATTCGAATGCATTGCAAAAGGCGAAAGGGGGGGAGACAGTAGGAGAAGGGCATACCAGAACAGAGGCAGAGACAGAGAAGAGAAGCGAAAACTGCACAACTCGAAGCTCGGAACTCAACTACTGCCCGGAATGGAATGGACTGCAGGGAGAGAGGACTCTTCGAATTGACTTTGTGCTGCTGCTGCTGCTGCTGCTGCTGCTTGGCCAACGACTAAAACAAATGGGCTCCACAACATCTTTTACTGTCAGCTGCAACTTGTCGCCCTGTCCATTTGTGTTGTGTGCCCCACCCCGTCTCTGACTCTTGGCATATAAATAAAATAAATATTTATATTGAAATGCAACGCAATCGAGCGCAACAGAATTGAATTTCAGAGCATCAGAGCTCTGCTTTGCTTTTGGCTCTTGTACTTTCTTTTTTTGTTGTGTTGTGCCTTTCGGCATTTGACTTGTCCGCAGATACAGATACAAGATACTCCAGCTCCAGTCCAGTCCAGCTCCAGCTCCAGCTGCACTCTTGAATGATTCTCTGAGCCCTTTAGTATATCGAATTGAATTTTGTGAACTTTGTTTGTCATTTAATTGCATTGCAAGTTGTGCGTCGCAATTTCCAATTGATTTCAAATGATCTCCAAAGTGCAGGTAAAGCGGCAAAGCGGCCCCCAAAGCCATCGGAATCTCTCTCTCTCTCTCTCCCTTTCTCGATTGAGTTCTCTTCTTGGGGTTAAAAGGCTGCGAATAAATAGTTTTGCAAATTGACAAATTCATGTGTACGAGGGGGTAGGGGTAGGGGTTACATGTTCATGTCCATGTCCTTGGGCATTGTTTATTTACGAGAAGTAGTTTTTGCTGCAAAACAGATACGAGAAGCAGCAGCAGAGCCAAGATATTTATTAGATGAAGCTTTTGGGACAACGGCAAATGTTCATTGGTTGTGAAAACACCAAAAAATGGTTTAAAACAAGCCATTGAAACACCCCAAACTGTGCAAGGGAATAGCGGAAATACAAACACTTTTCATACATTTTTCATGAGTGGAATGCGAGTGCTAGAAGTAGCTGGAGAAGGAGTGCGAATGTTAGAGCAGGAAGAGGAGTTAGAGGGTGCCAGAAAGAGCTAGGACTGAATATCCTTTGTCTTTTTGTATGCGAATATATGTATTACATTAAGCCACAAACAACGCAACAAATTATCATTTAAATAATACTTTTAGTGCCTGCCAAGCATTGCCCTGTCTCTCTGTTCCTCTCTGTCAGCCTCTGTCTTTCGCTTTACCCTACGCACGGGAATGTTTTTGCATCTGAAGCGGAATACCCTGTAGCAGGCGCGGGCATAACAGACAGTGAGCAACCCATTTGGAGTACGCTTTTGTACAGGTAAGCATTGCCTTCTTTTCACAATTCTTTCGTAGCCAATGTGCATAAGTGGCATGCGGGATGAGTGTCTGTGTGTGGCAACATAATGTGCGGAATAACAAAAGCGGCAAAGTGTGCAAAAGCTGTCTAGGCGGGGAATAGATACCACACGGTGGGTTCTGGAGGGGTACATACATACATATGAGTGCCACTCGTACTTGAGTTGCTTCTTGGCAATGCAAATCTTCCTAATGCTCGCTTTATGTCTTTGTTTTTGAGATGCTTATCCTTGAGAGAGAGAGAGAGAGAGAGAGAGGGAGCCTTGCCTTTGCCACTTCACCATCAAATTGATTAGTGTAAAAAACTGTGGCACAGTGGCCTGGCAGCGTTGCAGCGTTGCTGCATTTGTTTTCAACTTCCTTTCTTTTTTTTGTTGCTAATTATTTGCATATTTCTTTTGCCACTCGCAACGAGACGTGCGCGATGACAACTCCAGGAGTTGTGTCTCCTAATTTGAAAGGTTTTTTCTTTTATTTTCTGTTTTTACTACTTACGCGTGCAGCTACCCTTCCCCCTCTCTCACTCTCTCCGTCTCTCTATCTTGCTGGTTGCATCAAAGCCAAATGCAAATGTCAGCCGAGTGTTGGCAACTTTTTCATTTTCCGGTAGCAGCCGCTCCCTGCCTCCGTGTCCCCCCCTCCCTCCCAGTTGTCATTTACGTTGCGCAAATGTCAAACTTATCGACGCTAAGCCACGTAGCCAGGAGCCTGGAGCCCTGGAGCTGCTACCTGGCCGCATCGCATTCCAATGTTGCACGTTCAAATTAAATTTAATGAACTCAGTTTAGTTGCAAATGAGTTACAGAACTAGAAACACACACAGGCAGGCAGGCAGGCAGGCAGGCAGGCAGGCAGCACCTACCGACGTGCAAGGGGAAAGCTCTGCAATCGGTTTTTCTTTTAAAAAATATAACAAACTAAAGCTGAAACTACATCTTAGCCAGGAATGCCCCTATGGCCAAGTGAGTAATGCCAATGTTGCACAGTTCGTACAATCGCTCGGCGCTGTTGCCGCGTGCCATGGCCCACAGGTAGTGCACTCCATCGCTGCCCAGCGCATACAGCAGAGCAATCTTCAAGTGAATGCCCCAAGCATCGCTGCGTTTGGCGATGCACAGCAGACACAACATGTTGCAGAAGCCAATGGCCGTGCGCCACACGAGCACTTTGGGCATCTTGACAGCGAGGCAGCACAGTCCAGCCATGGAGAGGCCGTAGAGCAGGGTTCTGGGGCTGCTGCTGCCCAGCGACGACTGGCAGAACTGAACGTTGATCAGCGTCAATTGTCCGACCTCCATGAGGGTGCGCGTGAGGCAGAGGTGTGGGTTGTGGCAGTTCTGGGCGTGGCGCAGCGAAACGATCAGCCCCAGGGTGCCGTGGGTGTAGGCCAAGACGCAGGAGGCATAGCCAAAGGGCTGCACGAGGGGATCCAGCTTCCAGCAGCCAGAAGCACCAATGCCACAGAGCACGCCGTTGAGCAAGCCAGACAGCAGTTTTCCGCTCATTCTGATTGGAATTTAATTTATTAGGGAACTACGAAAAATTCCACACAAAAATATATGTTTTACCTTTTGGGAAATGTAGAAGAATTCTATGTGGAAAGAGTTAATAATTTGGGTGTTTAAAGAGGGAGAATTGAGAGAATTGTGACAGCAAAGGGGAGAAATAAAAGTGAAGGAAAATAATCAGAATAAAAGGAAATACACTCCAAGTTGTGGGCATACAAAATGAACTACAACTCCGCGTTAAGTGGGAGAAAGTCGTCTGGCGATTGGTATTTTCCATGATATTTCCTAGAATTCTTCAAGCTAAAATGTAACCTCTAGAAGGTATAATAGGGCTTTCTATGGCTACATCTTTGGCCTGTTTGAGCCCACACTCCTCGCTTTATTATTTTGTTGGCTATTTATTTTTGTCGACTGACATTTATGCTTATTTATGGCCCTCGGGGATTGAGGAGTTCTCGGCCTGTAGGCCCTTTTGGGTTTTGCAATTTTAAGCCGCGCCAATTTATTCGATTGCTGTGTGCCGATTAGCCAAATATCGAGATTAGGGCCACAAAATCCGCGAGTCGTAAGCCAATCCAGTTTGGTGGCAAAGCGGGCGGTTCATTGAACCCCACTACAAAACGCTCTTGCCTTTGGGCACTTGGCCAACAAATAGGCCAAACAGAAATTGAAATAACACCAGAGATAACCGACAGACAGGGCAAAGGGCAAAGGGCACAGGGCAGTGGCAGTGGCAGCAGCAGCAGCTGCCAAAAAAAGAAAAGTGTGAAAACCAACCGCAGCAGAGCCAACTGACTAAAATGACTAAATGACTCCTGCGACTGACAGACTAACGAACTCTTCCAGGCCTCCCTCGTCTGTGTGGCTGTGGTTTTTGTGGCAACAAATGTGTGGCAAAGTGTGTGGCAATTGATTTATTCAAATGAAATCACAGAAAAGCAAAAACAAATGCTGGTAAATGCGGTCGGCCAGACAGCAGGTGACTTATGCAGCCAAGACAAGAGTGAAACAGTTTCGTCGCCTCACTGCACTCCACTCCAGCCGCCCAGCAGGCTGTTCCAGCCCCACGCACCCACCTGAGCATCGATCCAGCGGCGAAAGGCTGCCACACTGGTGTAGACACCGGGATAGTCCGGATTCGCACAGCCCAGGCCCCAGGAAACGATGCCGTAGAGCGTCGCCGTGCCATCCGCCTGGAAGCCGACCAGCGGCCCACCCGAGTCGCCCTGGCAGCTGTCGTGGCCAGCGCGAGCGGCGCACAGCATACCCTGGGTAATGGGCAGCACCTGGCGGTAGGCAAGACGACACTGTCCGAGGTCCACATGGTCCACGTCCACAAAGCGCAGAATGGAGGCGACACTAGAACCAGCTTCGGTCTCCTGCTGCTGCTCTTCACTCTGGAATCCCCAGCCGCTGACCAAAAGACGCGTTTGGTCTGTGGGTGGCTGCTGTGCGCTGGCCAGCGACACTGCCTGCAGCTCCTCGGTGAAATTGAGCCTGGCATTCAGAATGAGCAGCGCCAGGTCGTTGTCGTGGCTCTGGGGATTGTAGCCGCCGTGCGGGATGATCTGCTGCAGGCTGAGCAGGTGGCCGCCACTCGCATGCTCGCTGGAGCCCACCCGCACGCTGTAGTCGAGGACGCTCCAGGGTTCCAGCGCCTCGAAGCAGTGGGCGGCCGTCAGCACAAAGTGATCCCCGATGACGGCGCCGCCGCAGATGTGTTGGCCATGCAGCTGCACGGAGGCCTGGTAGGGAAACTCCAGAATGCTGGACACCTCCATGCCCCCCACAATGCGTCCATCGGTGGCAGGAGCGGCAGAAGTAGAAGCTGCAAGAAGCAGCCCCAAACTGAATGCAAATTCCAGAGAGTAGAACATTTCTCCGACTGATTGGTTGGCTTACCTCATGGCTCTGGTTTTATACGAAACTTATCGGGCCAAAAGTCAATAGACGAGACCCATTGCGAGTCTTATCGGGCGGGTAAGCGTCGTTGTCGCAGAATTTGCTTATCCACGAAGGTGCCAAGGTCTTCTTATCTGGCTTTGACCCACTAACCTTCAGGCCACAGGCGGAATTCGACCGTCCGAATGGGTATGGGTATGGGTTCATGGAAATTGGAGTGTGTCCACATGCGGAAGTACACAAATATGTGCCCAAAAATAGCTGAATAAAGTCTGATGATTCAATACTTAACTGCCAGAGAAGTGCATGGAGGGTAAACGAGCTTTTCTTGAAATATTTTTGGACTTTCTGTGGGAGAGAAGTTTCTTTCTTTCTTTTTAGTTTCTTGCAATGAAACTATTTTGGAATTGTCTGCCAGAAGAAGCGCCATAAAGTTTAATGATTATTTTCTGTTTATTTCTATAAGAATTTGTCATTCAAGTATAATATTTACAGCAGCAGAGGATCAGCTCATAGCAGTCTGATGTTTAAGTGCTCTTATTTCTGTAAGAATTCGACACCCATCAAGTCTTCTGTTTTCTTCTCTGAGAATATCCAAAAAAGTCCCAGCAAGGATGAGTAGTCCCAAAGTAGCCCCATTAAGCGTGATATTTATGGATTTATATCTGTGTTTACTACTGTATTTATTTCCATACGCATTTCGGAATACTTCAGTCAGCATAGGGTCGGTCTCTCTGTATTTAATTTAAATTCAATTGTTTCCCCAGAAGTTGTTGTAATATTTTGTAGACCCAAAAGTAATATATTTTCAGCCTTCAGCCGATTACCTTCTAGCAGTGGGAATATACATAAATGCATATATTACACATGTAATGGGGAAAAGTCTGGTAAATGTGCAGGGGAAAAGCATTTTCATTTAGCTTATCAGAAAAGTGTTTAATTATCTAAATGCAGGCAGCACTTTCGTTGCGAGTAGTTGAACACACGAACATGCAGGTGGCAGCTGGCAGGTGGCAGGTGGCAGACAAAGATCTCTGCTGGCAGTCACAGTTTGTAGGTTGTAGAGGAGCAAACTTTCAGAGCTCGCTCAGGCCTCACAGCCCATTTGGTTTCAATGAATATGCCCAGACCAAGGCACACATGATTTGCATAGCGTGTCTACTATTTCATTGTGAGATAAAACAACAGCAGCAAGAACTTATTAGTTTAGCCAAAAATGAATTGCATAAATAATTAAGGGCAGGGCAGGGCAGGGCAGGGCAGGGCAGTGCCAGGATTGTGGCAGACAGACTCCTGTTGCCAGAGACTACTGCCACAAGATACATTTTACAGATTTGAAATTACATCTCGAGGGAGGGAGGAGAGGCAGAGACTGACTAATTGTTACATTTCTGCCTGTGATATTTTGGTTTTTGCATTTGAACAAAATTCAATTTGCTGCTGCTGCTGCTGCCTCTGACACATGTGGCAACAGCTCACTCGCTCTCCCTCTCTATGCTAATTGGCCAAACAGAAAATTAATTAAACATGACAGGAGTTAATATACAACACTCCTTCATGAATTATGCACAGAAGGAGCGGCCACAGAGCAGCAGCAGCAATGAAAAAATGCAGAAAAACAGCAAGTGGAATAATCGCATTCGCTGCAACGAATTCGCAAACGAAATTGCATATGCAGCAGGGCAGCAGCGCCACAACGATTTATGGCAAAAGTATGATATGATCATCAATATGCGTTGTCAATAGTCGCAGTCGCAGTCGGAGTCGGAGTCGGAGGAGCAGCATGTAAAGTATGTGGAACATTGACATGCTGCGACAGCTGTCTATAAAGAAATTCCAAATGAAAGTCGCTGAAGTTTCTATGTAGCTCCTTTTTGCAACAGGAAATAGAAATGAGTTTGTATTCACTTCAAAGTGCAACCTGTGCCCTTTATTTACTGCCTTTTCCGACTCCTTGCTGGCATCTTCTGTATGCCTCCATTTGTGGCATGCGTGCGCGACATTTGTGTGGCTGTTAATTGCGTTTAATTGGTAGACACATCTCTCGTCACATAATTCGTGCCCAAGAAGCATAAATCTTTCAAGTGGTGCGGCTGGCATGGGCTGGCGTGGGGCTTAATTGCAGGGCAAAGAACATCAATTACCAACAACAACAACAAGAAAAACAAAAACAAAATGGGCCACAAAACACGCTTCGCTCTCTCGCTCTCTCTCTCTCTGTGACCCATAAATTATGCAGTTCATTTTTTTGACTTTATTATAAAATGCGTGTTTATTATGCCATAAAAGGGAGCAGGGGTGCACCAAATGGAGTGGGAAAAAGTGTTGAAAAGTGCGGTAAAGTGTCAGTATTAAGCGTGAAATTAATTACAAGCGCTTACTTAAGTTAAATATTTGAGCGAAGCTTTAGCGCTGCGCCAGCTCCGCGCAGCAAAGAGGGAAGCAGCAGCCGGGGAGCCAGGGAGCCAAGGAGACCCGAAACCCGTTGCCCCGAAGCCAAGGCAGCGTAGCAAGCAGTGGGTGCTGGACAGGGGGTTAGAGTCTCGCCCCACGACTGGCTGTAAGACGAGCCACTTTGTCAGGCCAAAAACACGGAAGCCCTGCCACTGCCACTACACTCGGCAGCTACTCCGCCACTCCTTTACTTCTCCTCCACTCCCCCAGTCAAGTGCCTGCCTCAAGCCAACTTCAGTTTACTTCGCTTCAAAAAATATACTACAACATTTATTTTTCCTGGGCTGCCTGGCTGCTGGCTGCTGCCTGCTGCCTTTAAGCGCAAGTTGAACATTTCATTTGTCATGCTCTGTTTTTTTTTTGCACCGGGTTTACCTGCGAAGAAGTTGAGTTTTCCCCCGCCACACGCATATGTTGCGGCGCCACAGTTTTTGAGTGATTGCTGCGACATCGTTGCCGGCTAAAGAAAAATGCTAAAAAATGTTTTGCCGCACACTGGCCTGTGCCCGTCTGCCCCGCTGCCCGCTGCCCCCCATGGCAAAGTGTTGCAAATAGCTTTTTTGCGTTTCGGAATAATTTATAAGATGTGTTTACCCATGAAAGCCAGTGACTAAGTGCCGCTGGAAAGGTGGAAACACGATAATTTACTTAGGAGCTTTGAGAAATGAATGCCAAAGACTTGACTGGACACTGGAGAGTAGGGAGAAGTGCGGCAGAGGGTTATGAGAGATGCCAAGAAAGCGGAGAAGACTCCGGGGACAGTGCAGGCTGTCATAAAATCTGCCAGAAAGTTATCTTTAGAGGAGGAGTCTCTCTACTTCTCCCCTTCTGCCTTTGTGTGGCTCTTTTGGCCATTTGCTAATTGTGGCTCATTATCTGCTAAATGTTGGCAAATTTATGTGACGCACGCAGATGCGGCACCAACTGATTTGATTACCCGTACGTGGGGCACATCCGGAGACGTAAAACGGGGCTGGGAAGCTGCACCTGAGTGAGTGAGGCAAAGGGAGTGAGTGCATGGCGAGCAGTTCATAAAACATGTAAAATGCTTCACATACACACGAAATAAAAAGGAAGGCAAAACCACGCCCACACATGGCCACACACGACGCATGCCTCACGCCACCAATGGCTGGGGTTGCCTCATGCCACGCTGCCTTTTCCGGCTGGAAAAACCTCATTAAAAATTCGTAGAGCGTTCCATTAAATGTTCATGTTTTGCATAAAAATAATGTTTCCTGAACAAAAAAGGGAAACAGAAGTCAGAGGCTAAGGGCAGCAGCCAGGGTGGGGTGTGCTTCCCGTGTGTGTGTGTGTGTGTGTGTGTGTGTGTGTGTGCGTTTTCCTGCGGCCTGTAAATCCAATTGATTGTGCGATGTTGAAGCATTTTAATTAACTTGAAACATTTCTAATGAACTGTGAACTTTTGCAACTGTTGAAATGAAGCCAAAAATAAAGGAGGAAATTTTGTGGCTTGTCATGCCCGTTCTGCCCCCGAGAGTATCATTTTCGTTTAGCTAATCAAAAGCTATCATTTGTCCGAGCAGGATAAACTCTGCAGCATAAATATTGATAAATCGTATCAACAGAAAAGCCACAGCAAAGTAGACAACAAATGGAAGATGGTTCGAAGCTGAAAGCAGCAGCAGGAAATGCCATTGAAAATCACGTAAAAATCACAGACAAAGATACATTAGTGATGGTATGGGGTAAGGGGTAAGGGAGGGGCGTGCCCCGATATCTGCTGTGGAAAGCATAAAATTTCATTTCAATGCTTATCATATTTGTGTGGCATGGACTCAGTGTCCCCCCCCCGTGTGCCGCGCCAAGCGCATACAAATGCAAACCGGAAATGACATGAGGGATAAATCAGGAAATTGCTAAACATCAAATAAAGCTTGATAGCCTGATATTTTGGGTATTGGGATACGGGATACGGCATACACTGGAGGGTTTTCCATCTTCCTTCTGCTGCTGCTGCTGCTGCTGCTGCTGCTGCTGCTGCTGCTGCTTCGATGTCAACAATTCAAAATCATTGCAATGATGACGAGGCAAACAGCTGTGGCGGCGGTGGTTGCAACCCAAAAATTCAATTTTGCAATATGACATCCGGCGACACACACACACACAGACACACAGACACACGGGGCACGTACACACACGTAGATGGATCGGAATGGCATGGCAGAAGCAGCGAACGGGGCGTATACGTAACGCCACAACGCACGAGTTGCCCACAAGCGCAGCGATTGACGTTCTGCCATTGTTCGTGCAGCAATAGAGAGGAGAACATTACTGGTAGTAGCAGCCAACAGCTACTGCCACCACACACGCTGCACAGTTTCGGCAGAGCAAACAAAGTCCGAGAGTTCCTACAGCTTTTGTGGTGCCAAAATGCATACAGAAGAGACGACCGGTTGACCCTCGATTGCTGGCACTAATTATGGCAAAGGGGAAATATTGCATTTCTTTGCAGAAACGAACAAACACAGAAACAGGAGACAGCCAAGGATATTCCATGTGTGGCAGGAGTTTACGGGGAAGAGGAATTGAG